TCTTGTTGTCCTTATGATTATTTTTTTTCCTAAAACTCTAGCCCTAGGATTCCTCCTGAGGAGGAGGGAAAACAGAGACCAGGAAGAAAGAGACAAGTGCAGTGAGATAACGATGTAGATCAAAGACACAAGTGTCAGCAAACAGGGAGAGATATCCCCTTATATCTGGGTGATAATATAGAAGAGCCAATGAAAACTTTAAAAGCTACTAAAATATTATTAACATGGCTAGTTACAAAAGTATATATACCCACATATTGCATATACATATATGAGGTTTGACAATTAAGTTCACAAACTTTCCACCTATGTGCTTACACTGACTGCACTGTACAAACAACTTGGTAGGGTTTCATAACTTTGGTATATCAGTGTCTCACAGCCATGCTCCTGTCAATGTGTAGGGTGTGGTAGTGTCTTGCCGAGTGGCGTTCATCATTGTTGTGTGTTTTTGTGTGTTGACAGCTCAGACAGCCATTCCAGAAAAAGAGTTTCAAAATTGCTCTGAAGGGAGGACCAGGTGCTGCTGTCAGTACATAGCTTACCAAGGGGAGTACTTTAAAGGTGGCCATGGTAACATTCAGCAATGAGATACATAGTACATTTTCTAGGATGAGGTCACTCAATTAATTGACCAACCTCATATACCTGTCATAAAATATTAATCATGCATCATTATCAATCACAAAATACTTTGGGCTGTAATAAGGGGGAAAAAATCCAGGATTGTTATAGTAAACTAAAGGACTGATAGGAAGACATTTAAAAAGTTTAATGTGAGATGCTAAAAATTCCTAAATAATAAAGAAGCATTGGGCAGCACCTATGGCTCAAAGGAGTAGGGCGCTGGTACCATATACTGGAGATGGTGGGTTCAAACCTAGCCCCAGCCAAAAACTGAAAAAAAAAAAAAAAAGCATAGCATATATCATGGAGGAGCATATTAATATATTGCTATGTAAATTCTAACCTCTACTTAAATTGTACATAGGATGCGCTTATAATCAAAATATGAATGGATTTTCTTTTAGCAAATAACAGAGAGATTCTAAAATTATGTATATGCACACATATATACACATATTCACACAAACATGTATACATGGATAAGTGGTGTGTATTCACAGATGTTTGTTTAGAAAAATGAAGTGGGTGGGTAATCTGGACTATAATGAAAGACTAGAATATTTAATGAAGATAACGTTGCCACATAAGCATTCTCAACCACCATTGCTCTCTCTTGTTCTCTCACCACATAATGCCTTCTGCCATCACATGCAGGATGGCCCTTACAAGATGCAGGCACCTTGACCTTGAACTTCCCAGCCTTAGAACTATAAGATATCAATCACCATTTTTTATAAATTACCCATTATCTGATATACTGTTATAGAGACACAAAATGGTCAAAAGCAGAAAATTGGTACCAATAGTGGGGTGAATGCTGTGATTGAATGTCCCCTCCAATACTCTTGTTGAATTCAGTTGTCATTGTGTTGGTATTAAGAGGTGTGACCATTACAATTAGGCAGTGGGGGCTCTACTCCATGAGTGGATTAATGTCACTATCTCATGAGAGGGTTGCTGATAAAAGTGAGTTCAGTCCCCTCTTGCCCTCTCTTGTTCTTCTTCCTGGAGATGGGATACTCCTCTTCCTGTTCTTGGACCTTGAAGCACAAGATGTCCAGCTTAAAACTCCAGGACATGAACCAGTATCCTCCAGTCTTCTCAGGCCTTCAGAGGACCATCACCTTCCCCAGTTCTGAGGCTTTAGGATTCGGGTTTATAGCTGTAGAAATAGCACTATATGGACCCCTATATTGAGTCACTTTACCGGCATCCAAAGGTTTCCAGTTTGTAACAGGGTTGTTGTGGGTCTTCTCAGCCTCCATAGTCGTGTGAGCCAATTCCCTAACACATCACCTCTAATAAATTAATAAATAAAATATAAATAAAGAAATAAGTGTGTGTGCTTGTGTGTGTACAAGTATTTGTGTGTGTGTGTGGCCACACAGTTTGTCTAAACTATTTAAATTACACATGAACTTTGTATGCGTGTATACAAACACACACATATATGTAGAAAAATTGGATTCAGTTTAAAGGCCACATTCAAGGATCCTGATGATCACATGTGGCCCCAAGGCTTCAGGTTCCCCAACCCTTCTGTAGAGATTTATAGAAGGATAAGTTTCAGACAAACAAATACTTCAGGCAAAAAAATAATGCTAAGCAAAATTTTGAACTGTGTGACCCCTATTAACCACATACAATAAGATGCAAGAAGAAGAAAAAATGACTTGAAGATAGAAATTTTAATAGAAAGAGAAGCAAAATAGAGCAATTTTAGAAAATTTCAGCCTACCCGTGACTAGGATGAAAAAACGTGTTGGGAAATAAAACCAAAAATGTGGCCAGATGACTGTTTTCTAAGGAGATCAATACACGTGAATTCTCAAGAGAACAGCAGGGTGATCCTGAAGGCATTTGAACTTCAGGCCTTCCAAGAACAGTCCCAGAACTCTAAGATGCCAGAATGGTTTCCTGAAAATGAGCCCCATGTACCCTTCTTGGGTTTGCATCCTAGTGTCACCTTGGGTTTCTGCTACCAAACCCCAGAGAAGAGCTCCTTCACTACTGCAGTGGTGGCTCAAGTGGACTCCAGTTCATCTTGACCCAGGGCTCCAGAAGGTATAAGCTATAAGCTTTGGCAGGGTCCATATAGTGCTATTTCTACAGCTACAAAGGCGCATATAGCCTCAATTCTGCTGGTGCAAAGATGCAAGAGAAGTAGATTCATGGCTTCCTCCCTTATTATTACAAATAATGAAGTGGACAGCCTGGGGCTGAGGTAGAAACTTGCTAGAGGTGGAAAGCTGCTGCAGGAGGTGCCCACTAGGGTAATGCTGCAGGGGTAGGGCCACTGTTGAGACCCTAGAACCATAGAGACATCAGTGTGCAGCACCAGCCTGGAGAGTCACAGGCATGAGACTCCTACATGAGTGAGATTTGGCATGGTCTGCACCCAGCAAAGCCACACAAGGGAGGCTTCCTGAAGTGGGATGGCCAATGTTTTATGTCTAATGAGACAGTGGAACAGCTCTGTCATAATGATCACCGAAAATGCGGCCTTGGAATGTCAGGTTATTACGGTCATCTCTGTGGAAGCACTTGTTTTTTGAGCAGCCCTAGATTTTGTAGCTGTGGTATCAAGATGCAGAAATAGTGTTAATATAATTTCTGCTGTGAGAATCTAAATGTAAAAAATAGTACGCATCCACCGGCTATACTCGAATCCATTCTTTATTATTGGGAAAGTGAGCCATGGTAAATTCGCATGAATAACAATGCTACCTGTAACATAGTCCATCTTCTAAGAGGCATCATTGCAACTAAATGTAACTTTTTAGAGTCCATATTTATATACTGCATCATGTGCTCTTATAATAGGATTAGCACTTACTAAAGAATAAATTCATCAGAAATGACTTCTACCCCTCATTTGCCTCCCATTATGCATAAGTTTGTAAGTGTTACCTGGGGTAGTTAAATTTCCACTTTGCCTGTTGCAAAAATAAAATGTAGAACAATCCAGATAAATTAAACAGTCAGCTTTTAAAATTTATTAACCAGGCCCAAGTGGTTACCATGTTGAACTCTACTGACGGCATTTGAATTCATCCTCTGTACAAAGGCATTTGTTCACACAATGGTTCTTTTTTATTTTTTTATATTACATCATAGCTGTGCATGTTATTTTGATCATGGGGTACAGTGTGCTGGGTTTATATACAATTTTAAATATTTTCATCAAACTGGTTAATATAGCCTTCACAGCATCTGGTTGATCAACTCCAGGCACTGACAGTTTCAGTTGCTACATACAGAATTAAAGAATTTAATTTTAGTAAGTATAAGCTGAAAACAGACAAATTTCAAATCATAAAATCAACAATGAATTGCTGAGATAATATGCTATTGCCCAAGCTCAGACTTTACATATCAGAAAATATATACTGGTTTGTCTTTTGGCTGGAAAATTTTCCATCAGTGATAGTTTACCCTCTTAACATAAAATGTATATATAAAGGGCTAGGTGTGGTGGCTCATATATATCATTCTAGCACACTGGGAAACGAAGGCAGGAGAATCATTTAAGCTCGTGAGTTTGAAACCAGCCTGAGCAAGAGCAAGACCCATCTCTACTAAAAATATAATAATTAGCTAGGCTTCATGGCGGGTGCCTGTAGTCCCAGCTATACAGGGGAGGCTGAGGCAGGAGGATCACTTGAACCCAGGAAGTTGAGGTTGCTATGAGCTAGGCTGATGTCATAGCACTCTATCCTGCAGCAACAGAGTAAGACTCTGCCTCAAACACACACACACACACACACACACACACACACACCATAATTTAAGCCAAAAAATAGAGTTAGGATAGGAAAACAGACAGTTGGACATGCAAACATTATTTATTATTGAATAATGCATACTGATGACAAACAGGATTGTATTAAGACACAAGTTAAAGGTTCTAAATACAATTTTATTTTCAAAAATTTTTGAACACTTTGAGGTAAAGCAAGTTTATCAACATCCTGTGGTCAGGAAAATGAATTTTTTACTTTTTTTCTGAGAAATGATATATTTCACAAGAAATCCAGGTTGAGTAACATGTACGTACAAAATACCCTAGGAAACAACTATTACTAACAAGCATATCTCAAAATTATCGTTTATTTATTATGCAGTAACTACTCTCAGCACAATGTCACATATGCTCTGAATGACATGTCAGTTTTCTGATATGGTTACAGATGTAAGAGAAACCATGCTTGGTAATTAAGAGTCCATTCATGGGGCAGAACATCCTTCTGTTACATGGGACCCCTCAGTGTATTTAAGAGTTGTCTTTAAAACTAGAACTTTTGTTCCAGGACGTTTATGCCTGGTCATTTATAATACAAACAAACATTACCATCAATATATCTATTGCAGATTTACCGGCCCAAGTTCCCCTTGGCAATGGCTTTGTTGACAGCCTCTTTCACGTCCTTGTTTCTTAGACTATAGATCATGGGATTCAGCATGGGAATCACTGTGGTGTAAAACACAGCCACCATTTTCCCCTGCTCCACAGACTCCTCGGTGGGCCGCCTAAGATACATGAAGATGAGGGTCCCGTAAAACATGGAAACAGCGGTCAGGTGGGAGCCGCAGGTGGAGAAGGCCTTCCTCCGGCCCTCGGCGGAGCGCATGCGCAAGACAGCCACTACGATGAGCGTGTAGGAGACCAGGACCACCGAGAGGGAATAGGTGAAGTTAATTCCTGCAATGACTATCATCGTGTACTCTTTGATGTGCACCCCCCCGCAGGCGATCTTGATGAGAGGGGGGTCTGCACAGTAGAAGTGGTTGATTTCAAAGTTCCCACAGAAGTACAAGCCGTAGGTCCACAGCGTGCAGATGAGACTGACAGAAAATCCATAGACGTAAGGCACAGAGATGAGCCGCACGCACACGGTCCTGGACATTTTACTGCTGTAAAGCAGAGGGTTGCAGATGGCCATGTAGCGGTCAAAGGCCATCACTGCCAAGATATAAACCTCCACGTGGACAAGGGCAATGAAAAAGTAGCACTGCACCAAACATCCCACGTAGGAAATGGTTTTTGTCTTAGATATTAAGTTTTCCAGCATTTTAGGGGTGACATTGGAGGAGAACCATACATCTACAAAAGACAGATGACTTAGGAAAAAGTACATAGGGCTCTGGAGCTGAGGACTCACCCTGATCAAAATGATCATACCAATGTTTCCTACCAGAGTGATCGAGTAAACTATCAGGAACACCACAAAAAACAGGACCCGTAGCTCCTGACGACAGGTCAGCCCCAGGAGAATGAATTCTGCCACATCTGTGAAATTAGGCATCGCTTTGACACAGGCCAAGTCTGGGTTGCCTAAGAAGAAATTAAAACTAAATAAAGAATAACAACAACAATAAAAAAAAAAAAAACACTTGTGAATGGATTTGTTTTGGTCTTGAAACTTTTGATTTGCATATTTCCTTTTGCAATTCAAATAATATAAAAGGGGATTGTAAATTTGCAAAATGTCTAATATGGGGATTACACATACTATCTGTAAAATGAACTGGGCATGTAACCTAACACTCACTGTGCCTTTAGTTCTGATCTAAGTCCCCCTGTAGTATGAATATCCATGATTTTTAGTCATTTCTTTTGTCCCTTTATAAGAGTGAAAATAGCTACAGACATTGGGTATTAAATAGAGCTGTGGTCAGACATTTTCTGTGTTAAAAATGTTGACCTCTACTGATGAATCCATATTCTGTCCTTAACAGAATTTTACCTAGATTATGGTACTATTTCATTAAGTATAAAATACATAAAATAAAGCATCAGGCTATACAGGAAATGTAAACTAATGCTATGTACTATTTCAATTTTGTTTAGCTGCTGTGTGATGTGGCTATTTCCCTTTTTATACACATCATCATTAATCTTGTGTTATAAGAATTTGTCTAATTTAACCCCAAACTCTGTAAAGTGCCTTGCTTAGTGGTTACATTTGACAGATATTCAGAAATAATTACACTTACAATGTTCTTAAATGGGCCCTGATCTCTAGGTTAGCTTTATGTAATAATGCACTAATCCAATATTATTAAAACTCTCTAAGACTTTTCTAGAGGCAGCAGTCCCAGCTTTATAATACAGCACTTGTAAGACTACCTACCACTGAATGTTCACTAAATCTTTTGCCTACAATGGTCCTATAAAACAGACCCTATTCACATACGTATTTTACAAATGAGGGAGGTGGAACACTGAAGGATTTAGATGATCTCCCTGGGTCATAGGTCTACCAAGTGATAGGATGAAAGTGCAAAACAAATAGTTTTTTAGTCATTAAATGCTATAGCCTTAATAATCTGCTGCTGCTTCTTAGATGACCTATTCTACTATTATATTTTCTTTCATTTAAAATTTTGCTTGCACATTCCCCATAGCAGGGAAAGTTGTCTCTGCCATATCTTTTATCCTTGATGGACTGTTAAGAACTGTTTGTGATCCTACAGCAGATTTGACCACAGAGGTGCTAGATCCCTGCTTCTCCCAACTCCTCCAAGGTCAGGTGATCCCATCGACCTAGGAGAAGGCTACAATGATTTCTGGGAGAAAACTAATTTGTTGCATATATGTTTATCATCTATCAAAACCATCAAGAAGTTTGAAGTTCTGACTTCAAGAAAGCAAATTCATTTTCTATTAACATTCCAGCAATGCCCCACAGAGAAAAACAGTGAAGATACAAATTACTGGAACAATCATTCCAACTGACTCAATATCCCTCACTCCATCATATATATTTTAAAACAATATTGTGAAAATCCATACTTTTTTTTTTAACCAGAGTCATACTCTGTCACCCTGGGCAGAGTGCCCTGGTGTCATAGCTCACAGCATCCTCAAACTCTGGGCTCACTCAATCCTCTTGCCTCATCCTCCTAAGTAGCTAGGAATATGGTATGTGCCACACTCCTGGCTAATTTTTCTATTTTTAGTTGTGATGGGTCTTCTCTGGCTGGTCATGAACTCCTGAGTGCAAGTAATTCACCTTCCTCAAAATCAATAGTCTTTATTAATAGAAATCTTAAAATTTCCCACTAGTATAATGATATGCAATAAAATACTTCAATAGCAAATATTTATGTATAAAGCATTAGTTCTCTCCTCAAAGTAGGGAATAAAATTAAAAGACTTGACTGCGTAAATCTGTATTGCACAGAGTGCAGAGCTCGCAGACCTACCTTCAGCGTAGCAGAACAGCAAATGGCGATTTCTCAATACTTATAGTGGTGAATGGAACAGCAGGAGCATTGGGACCATGTCTCTAAGGAACTATCTAAGTTATTTTGAAGGAAATAATGAACACTTTTGAACTATCTTAGCAGCAGAGATGCATCAGGATGATTAAAGAGTGTTGATGGGAAGAATAATTAACAAATAATAGTGAGATCAAAATTCTTGATCATGATATAATCTGTCTTCCACTTTCACATGGGTGAAATTTTGCATCCATAGACAGAGTTATATTATAACATTATAATTAAATATAAATTAGTGATTTGTTTATAAATGTAAATGGTTTTAAAGAGTCGCACATAGTATGAATATATGAAAATGAAAATGAGTTCATCGGAGTTCATCATTTCTAATTTCTCTTAAAAATAAAAATTAAATAACGGACAAAGAATATAGTATTAATCTCATTTCATATTTTTGTCTTTGCCGGTAAATTTTTAGTTACTTAAATGTGTGAGTTACACATCTTTAGCTATATATTTTCTACAATGAAATAGAGTTTACTACTTATTTGTGTGTGTATTTGTTTATTTCATTTCAAGGCACAGACTTTAATGACAGTGGTTGCCTCATACATATCATGAAATGAGGTACAAGAGAGATGTAAATTTTATTAATATTATTATGACACAAAATGTTATTGTTAACAACCAATAGTCCATCTTAAATGTTTGATTTTTTTCAAATGCGAAAGTTAACTCAAATATGTAAGCACCATATCTTAGTCACAGATTTGCCAAATATTTAACTTACTGAGTGACGTTTAAAGAGCCATGAATTTACAATGAAACATCCCTCCACTAATTCCCTCCACTGATCCCTCCTTAGTATGCCATACTGAAGACATGCTGGCACTCTGAAGACACTGCCAGCTCCCAATGCACAGGTGCACCAGTGGCAAGTGTTAAAGCTTGGGAGATACTGGAATCTGTAAAATGGAGGTACTTACTATGCTACATCTCTTAAGAAACACAAGAAAACTAAAAAGTACTTGAAAAAATAATATTGCTATTTTCAAGGTAGTAGTCTCTGAATAGACCTGAGCCAAAGAATGAAAAAACATTAAAGAATATACAATTTTATAGTCATTCGTGAGACCATTTTTATCTCTTCTTTCCAGAAACTAAAATTTGTTGCCTCAAATTTGTTCCCAAATAGAAAAATAAGTATTTCCTAAATTCATTCATAGAACTTTTGAGTCAAAAAATGTGTTTTGGGGGTGGTGCCTGTGACTCAAAGGAGTAGGGTGCTGGCCCCATATGCTGGAGATGGCAGGTTCAAGCTCAGCCCTGGCCAAAAAAAAAAAAAAATGTATTTTGGTTCTAGCTAAATATCTGACCAATTTCAGTTAGTCACCCATAAAATCTGGCATACATCACTGTTTTAATATAATTAATTTGTTCATTTAAACAAATCGTAACTAGCTGGATCATCAGGAATGGGTTAATCTACTTATTTTTTTCCAATTTCCACCACTTTTTCCCCCTTTTCAATGCACAAAATATCTTTAGCTTAATGTTCCTATGTACTGGCTAATAATTTGTCTCCAAATAAGTTATAAAAATCAACATTAGCTCAATTTTCTTTCATTAAACATATCCTGTTGATTACTTTGGTCAAGGCTTCTTTCACATCCTTATTCCTCAAACTGTAGATCATGGGGTTCAACATGGGGATCACCGTGGTATAGAAGACAGCCACCATCTTCCCCTGCTCCACGGACTCCTCAGTGGGACGTCTGAGATACATAAAGATCAAGGTACCATAAAATATGATGACCGCTGTCAGATGGGACCCACAGGTGGAAAAGGCTTTCCGTCTCCCTTCTGCTGAGCGCATTCGTAGGATAGCAATGAGAATGAATAAATAAGAGATAATAATTACACTTAAAGAATATGTGAAGTTAATTCCTGCTAATATGATCATTGTATATTCTTTCACAAAAGTCCCCGCACAGGCCATCTTGATGAGAGGTGGGTCTGCACAGTAGAAGTGGTTGATCTCGATTTTCCCACAGAAGTACAAGCCATAAGTCCATAACGTCGCTGCCAGACTAGTCAGGAAACCATATATGTAAGGAAAAGAAATCAGACGAATACAGACAACCCTTGACATTTTGCTGCTGTAGAGCAGAGGGTTCCCAATTGCCATGTATCTGTCAAAGGCCATCACAGCAAGAATAAAAATTTCCACATGAACAAGAGCAATGAAGAAGAAGCACTGTACCAAACATCCAGCGTAAGAAATAGTTTTTGTCTCTGAGAGCAGGTTTTCCAACATTTTAGGGGTGACATTGGAAGAAAACCACACGTCAACAAAGGACAAATGGCTGAGGAAAAAGTACATGGGGCTGTTCAGCTGTGGACTGATCTTAATTAACAGAATCATGCCAACATTGCCCACCATGGTGATAATGTAGACCGTAAGAAAGATGATGAAGAAGAGAACTTGCCATTCCCGACAATCTGTTAATCCCAAAAGAATGAATTCTGTCACATCGGTGAAATTGAGCATTTTCTGAATTCTGGATGAATACGAGTTAACAAATGTCTGTGGGTACGAAAATGAAAGAAATGAAAAACTGAAGAACTGCAGTTTTCTTGATATATATCTTTATTCATGCCCCCATCCATTGTTTCCTTTATTAAATATTTATGATCACATTTGGCCATTCTTTTCAGAAATGCTTCCCTCAGTACCTCTGAAGATTACTAAATAGATCTCAGAATGTAACAGTTATAAAAAACAAATTTAGTGAATTAAAAATGCTCGTAGTTAGAATTGTGAGTAGTCACATTTCTAAGACTATTCCTTAAATATATTACGTATTCAATGCTGGCATGTTTGGTAGTTTCATATTTTTAAGATAATTATAAGGAGTTGTAATTCCCCAAGATGATTCATACTAGTCAACAATTAAATCCCCATCAAAATCCTAGCCCAATATTTTTCAGATCAGCTGATTTTAATATTTATAAAAAATGTAAAAGTCTAGAACTTATCTTACAGAATAGTAAGCAAAGTTTTACCTAATATATATGA